GGAGCGCAGGTCCTTGCCCTGGCTCCCTGGCTCACTGCCCTCTATCCAGTCTGCGGGCCCGTATGCATGTGTGTGTGTGTGTATAGCATCATATAAATATATATGTGTGTGTGTGTGTGTGTGTGTGTGTGTATAGCACCACACATATATATATATCTTCATCTCTCATCATCATATATATCTCTCTCATCATACCCACTCTGTGGCGAATCTCAGGATCCAAGAATTCTATAAAGTGACCCAAAGGACCCAAGTTAGACAGTGGATAACTTTTAGATGAACTGTCCACACCAACAAAACGCAAAACACTTTCATGTATTACCTGGGGAGTCTGGTCACCAAATTGAAGCACAGGTGGGAAAGGGATTTCTGGTCAGACAGGAATTTTGTTGCTGCACAAAAACGTAATGGAAAGTTGAAGTGCCTTAGCAGGCAATCGAGTTTTTATTATCGACTCTTGCTCATCTGGTGTGTTCCACCTACTCACCCTTCCATTCCTCCAAGCTCCTGACAACCTTGAATCTTTTTACTGCCTCCACTGCTTTTTTGAGAGTAGTATATAGTTGGAATCATACAGTATGTAGCCCTTTAAGATTGGCTTGTTCATTTTCGATTTCTCCATGCCTTCTCATAGCTTTCTAGCGCTTTTCTTTTTTAGTGCTGAATAATATTTCATCGTTTGGATGTTTATTTATCCACTCATGGGCTGAAGAACATCTTGGTGGATTCCAAGTTTTGGCAATTGTGAATAGAGCTTCTATTATCATCTGTGTGTAGTTTTGGTGTAGATGTCAATTTTCAATTCCTTGTGTTAATACCAAAGTGTACCATTGCTGGATTATTTGGTAAGTGTATGTTTAATTTTGTTAGAAACTACCAAGCTCTCTTCCCAAGTGACTATACCATTTTGCATTCTCACTGGCAACATATGAGAGTGTCTATTGCTCCACATTCTCACCAGCATTTGATGTTGCCAGTGTTTCAGATTTTGGTCACTTCAGTAGGTATGTGACGATGTATTCGTTTTAATTTGCACCTCCATTATATATAATGTGAGCCTTTTTTTTTTCTAATGTGCTTACTGGTCATCTGTATATCATCTTTGATAATATGTTGAGGTGCTTGGCCAAGCCTTTACTTAGGTTGTTGGGTTTTTATGTTTGATTTTTGAGAGTTTTTTGTTTGTTTGTTTGTTTTGGGTACCAATCCTTTATGGAATATATCTTTCACAAATACTTTCTCTTCAGTCTGTGCCTTGTCTTATAATTCTCTTAAAATTGTCTTTTGCAGAGCAGAAGTTTTCTTTAACTTTAATGAATTTAAACTTGTCATTTATTTCTTACATGGACCATGCCTTTGTTGTTACAGTGAAAAAAATCCATCACCAAACCAAGGACTTCTGGATCTATTCTTATTGGATCTTCTAAAAGCCTTAACAGTTCGTGTTTTACATTTAGTCCTATGATCCTTTTTGAGTTAACTTTGTAAAGGGTGTAATGTCCATATCCAATTTTTTTTGTATGTTATCAAGATGGTATTTGTATGCTATAAAGAAGAAAGATAACTATCTTTCACTTGACTACATTTACATAGGTCTATTTCTGGGCTCTCTGTTCTACTGATCTATTTGTCTGTTCTTTCACCACTACCATATTGTTTTATTTACAGTAACCCTATAGTGAATTTGCCTCAAATTCAATGATTTTGATACTAATTAAATGATTTTCCTTTGGTATACACAGCCAACTTTATACCCAATTGTGCATCATTAATTTCTAATGACTACAAGCAATTTTTAAAAATTGCATTAAAAATAAAAAGTATAACTCTCTGTTATAGGGGGATAAATAAAAACCGTACAAGTGAGGAAATTAAAGAATTAGATAGTATTAGTCTCCAACTTCACTCTTTTCCTTCTGTACTGTGGTGGCTATTCTGGGTCTTTATCTTCTCCAAAGAGCTAAATTTGTTCAGTTCTGATAGTTTACCCAAACCATTAAAATATAGCTTTATACATTTAAAAAAATTATCTTAGACTAAAGATAGAAGGCTTGAATATATTTTATTTGATATTAAAAAATCTTGCTTTATAACACTCTATATGATTTAGGGGTATCAGTTAATACCTCTTCAGATGTGCATCACCACACCACATCCACCACTGAAGTACAACAGACTGCTAGCTTAATTTATGACTTGAGTATGTAGACAGATATTTGGTATCCTCCAAATATCTGTCTTTTTTTTATTTTTAAGGATTTATTTATTTGTTCATACAGAACTGGGGTACAGGCCAGAGGCTCAGGGGTGGCGAGAGGCTTAGAGTGGGGAGCAGAACAGGCAGATCTACGAAGTACACTGCTGAGGGGAGCAGTGGGCGGGTCAGGAGAGGTCTGCCACGCCATGTGGTCACCTCCCGGGCAGGCAGGAATCGAACTCATGAGGAAGTGGCTTTAGCTTCTCAGTGCTGTGCTTTAACCCGCTGCGCCACCAGGGAGGGCCCCAAATATCTGTCTTTTGCTCACACTACATGGTAGGCCTGTTTTGTGAGCACCGACCAGGTGCTAAGACTTTAGAGGCTTGGGGGACAAACAGCAGTAGGAGGATCTCAGCTAGAGAGATCTGGACTGAGCCTAGACATTGAAGAGAACAAGACAGACCTCAGGCTTCCTGGACTGTTTCCCTTCAGAAGTTCTTTCTCCGTCTCTTCTTTACGTGACCCTTGAAAGCCCTTCCCATGGCTCCAGTTTATCCAAGTGATGTGTTAATTGATGGCTTATTCACTCAGTTTGGGGGGTCTGTGAAGACAACATAGAGGATAGCTTTAGAAAAAGGAGAACCAGGGCCCTCCCTGGTAGCACAGGGGGTTAAAGCGTAGCACTAGGAACCAGCTATAGCCGCTTCCTGTGTGTTTGATCCCCTGCCCCAGAGGTGACCCACATGGCGTGGCAGACCTCTCCTGATCCATCCACTGCTCCCCTCAGCAGTGATCTTCATCAGTCTGCCTGTTCTGCTCCCCACTCTGTCTCTGGTGAATCATCTCACTGCCCCTGTACCTCTTGTGTGTACTCTGGTTGTGTATGCATAAATAAATAAATCTTTAAAAAAGAAAAAAGAAAAACTAACTTTAAGAAATCATATTACTCTTTATTGAAGTAATTTTGGTTTATAACACTGATTTAAAGGTATAACCTCAAAATTCTGAGACGTATATTACCATTCTATATCTGCTACCAAACCAGCCTCCATGATCCTTTGAGATCTCTCCCCTTTTTTCTCCTCACCCCCTCACTTTCCTTTTCTGGTAACCTTGATTCAGCAGCAGTTAGATTTCTAGGGTTTATAAAATCTAACTTTTACTTAGGATACATTACCTGTAAGCTCCCTGCTCTAAAAGTTAATTGCTATGGTGTTTGTAGCATAGTAATTAACCTTTTGCTGTGGTTGTTTCCACTAGGGTTGGCCAAAAATAATATACCTCCTAATTACTGCCTCCAGTATTACTGGAAAATAAAAATTTCAGTGCAGTAGTAACATGATACTGCAGGAAAGAGACACATATTTTTATGACAGTTTTGATATATGAGATTGCTTCTTTGGAACTCTGGGATTGTC